GCGGCATTTTACGAGCAACAACCGCCGCTAGGAGGTGCTTGATTTTCCTGTTTCTGCTTCAAAATATTTCTCTTTGCTGCAGTTGAACCTTCTTCCAGGAGACTAGGAACTTCCATTATCTGTTACAGAATTCCAGTTGGTTAGAATTGAGAACAGAAGAAAATGTCACATATGTTCAGATAATCTCAATCATATTCCCTAATCCCACGACGACTGCTTTCGATCTTAAGTTCTTAGCAATACGACAACAAAAATCATATAAACAAGTTTGCAGGGAAGAAGTTGCATAAGAACTTCAGTTCTGAAATTGTCAAAACTTTCTCAAAAGTACCTTTAATGCTAGCTCTTCGAAGCATTGCTCCACATTTTCTCTAGTTTTAGCGCTACATTCAAGAAACAAACATCCAAGATCTTTTGCAAGAGCAAGCCCCTCTTCTCTACTTACAGCCCTTTCAGATTCCTGAAATCACATAGAATTTCTTTCTTAACTTATTTATAGATTGAGATAATAAAAAAAGGCCTCGTCTTTTCAATAAGTAAATTTATAAAGGATTAAAAAGAAAATTACACAAATGAAACCCAAAGGAAGTTTCTGCCTTGGCAGAACATGCTTCAAGAGACCACAAAAGTGTTTGGCTACATGGAACATTTAATAATGATCCTAGGCTTCATGAGGATTTACTACTAGAAAAATCACATTCATGTTGACCAGTATTATGCAGACTAAGATGCTGGTTCTGGATGTGTGTGAGCACTGAATATATGTCCAACTGGCAATGTTCTGATTTCTCAAATATGTTAGAGCCTGCAGGTACCCCTTAATCATGCCATGTCATCATCATATGAGTCTGGCAGGGATGAAGGGCACAGGTAAGACGAAGGTCAATGAAAGTTGCGCTAAATTTCATCACTTCAAATCAAGAGTCTTGGTTTTCTATGTGTGAGAACTCAAAACACACAAACACAATGAAGAGCATGGAGCTAAGTAATAAGACCTTTGCTGGCTGTCTACTTACTGCTAGAGACAAATTCCCTATTTGAAACTTACTCTGTCGACTTTATTTCCAACAAGCATCTTGGCACAGTCCTTATTAGTTGAGTAGAGCTCCACTTCTTTAGCCCATACATCTGATAAGTTGGTAAAGGTGTCTCTCCGAGTCACATCATACACTAAAATAAAGCAGAGGAGTTGTTCATTAGCTGAAATCAGGCAACTATTGTATTGTATTCAAGGCATTATATGAGAACTTTGAATTAGGTATAGTTCTATTTATGCCTATGAGGGGAAACTTCTTCAATGCCATTCTCCCATTTCTTATAGCTCAATAAGAGATACACATGAAAATAAAAAATGTAGGAAGTTGAAGAAAAGGAGTTAAATTTTTTGATATATTTGCGTAAGATGATGCCGGCTTAAACAATATGACATGATACATGCCCATATACAAAATTCAAGATTGTCACTAGAAAGATCAAAGATACGAAATATTCTTCATTTCAGCAGTCAACCAGACATGGGAACCATATTCTCCCTTTTTTCTCTTTAACACGAAAAATCGGCGCTACTAAGAGAAGTGAGAGTAGATGGCCGCATTTTCCTCAACAAAATTTGAGAAAAATATATATTTACAGACAAAAAATGATGAGGCTTTTGATAACATACCAAGAATGATTCCTTGTGCATTTCTGTAGTAAGAGCTTGTTAATGTTCTGAACCTCTCTTGTCCAGCTGCAATAGACAACATATAGAATGATGAGAAAAATCGGTTTTTGCTCTGAAATCCGTAAGCATTTTATTTATCGATAAAAATTGCATCATAGAATGAAAGAATGGACAAGATTAATTTACTACCTGTGTCCCAAATTGTCATCTTAATTCTCTTCTCAGCTACAGTGAGCAGCTTGATTTTAAAATCCACACCTACAAAACAAAGGAACAAAACCCATCAAATGCCTCACACAACGATTGTCTCAATCAATCCAAAGTATGCACAAGATTCATATGAAGAAACCATTCAAGCAACTAACTTTTTATGATCCACCCTCTGGAAGTTCACAAAAAATTTAATTCTTTTTTCTGATCACAAACATATTGACTTCTGAACTCACTAATTGAGTTCAATTTACATCAATGAAACAGGAAATGTAAGGAGCCATAAGCCTATGATTGAGAATAATATACAAGAAATCCAGCTATTCAACTATCAAAATCCAATCATAGATCCAACAGTAAGTAATAAACTCCCTTTGGGTTCTTACCAACACTTCATCCGTTCATCTCATTGGCAGTAACAAAAGAATCAGAATGTTTTATTGCCCAACATTTTTATCAGCTCCCAAATGAAATGCTAAGCTAAAAGCAACATAAAGAAAAATGGGGTAGAAAGATTATTACCAATGGTGGGGGCAAGATCGTCAACAGAGTTGGAGATGAAACTAACAAGAAGACTGCTTTTGCCGACGGCAGAGTCTCCGATCAACAAGATCTTGAATGACAGATCGTAGTTACTGCTCTGCCCTGAAGAACCCATTTGATCACTCTTCTGTGTTTCTCTCTCTCTCTCTATCTCTGGTGATGGTGATGATTAGAGCTTTTTTTTCTGAAGTATCAATGTCTGTTCTATCTGAAAAGTACAGTGAAAGAAATGCATATAAGGCTGGAAGAGGAGAAAAGAAGAGAGAGAGAGAGAGAGGAGAGAGAAAAAAAGAGGAAAGGTGGTAATGGTGCCAATGGGCATCTATCCATCTTTTCGGAGGTGAAAGAGAGAAAAAGCTAAAGAAAACGGCTATACCTGAACAACATCTGCTGACAACTACCAACGTATCTATTCTTTTCTTCTTTTCTTTATGTTAATTCCTGATTTCCATGTTAACGGGGTTTTGTCCTAGACTCTTCCTTTCTGTTCAGTTCTGTTATATGTTCTGTCCCACATTCGATTCTTTTGATGCACACCACTGAAAAGCATCATCAAATGGGACTCACAAATTAAAATATTAATAGAGATGAGACTTCAATGACGCATAGTATATATTGACTTCTCGGAATATCGGGACTTTTAGCTTAAGTGGTAGAATACTTTACTTGACACGTTCAATATAAATTTGACTTGCCTCACCTCCCAATTCTTGGTGATCTACCATGGCAATGATTATATGTCTGATATTTGATTTTGAGTACATGAAATTTAACAACGGTGAAAAAATATTACATGAATTTTACAGGAAGGGATTTGGTGGCATTGGTCCACACAATGAGTTGAAAAGAAGAGAAGGGAAAAATTGCATGCAATTTCCAATGTGAGGCTTGCGCGGGAAATAGATCAATCAAAGAGATGGTGAAGGGGCACTATCATTGTATGCCAAACAAGAAGTGATCCCACCATTAAATTAATGAGCTACGAAACAAAACAAAAGCTCCATTTCCATTATCTTCACTTTCACCTGCCAATATGTCACCGACATTCCTTCCAAAATCACATTTTTACTTTTCTTGTTTTTAGGTTCTAATTAGACTCGGCATGTCTCCAAAATTCCATTTCATGCTTTTATTTCAGTTTTCAATTTTGTTTTTTTCTGTTTCTAGTTTACATTTTCTTTTAGAGAGGATTGTACCTTAACTAATTAAAAATATGTATTTTTTCTGTGTCGTGTTATCGATTCTCCCCGTATTACTTATATCAATAAAAACACAACAACATAAAAACATTCTAGGCTTCCGTCAAGATTTAAGAGTTAAAAATATGTTCGTACAAGTTGGTAGCATCAAACTTTGCATCATTATTTCGGCTTCATAATTTTTAGTGTAGTATAACACCTGTTATTGTGACATTAATCATCATCATAAGAGCTAATGATGCTTAGCTTCCCACCACTACGAAATGCATGCTCATTCAGATGAAACCTTCTTTATGCATTGGCATAACCTTCTTTCTTTATGCCTACTCAAAAGATTCGTACCCCACTTTGAAGTGTCTCATAACTGAGAATGAAACTAATTAAAGTTGCATGTTCCAGAATAAATTTTAGACCTTAAACAAAAGTGTTTTGGTTTATAATTATATATAAAGACAAACTTAAGAAGGATGAGCAATTACAGAAGAAGAAGAAAATGTTTGGAAGGAGGCAGAGGCTTTAGCCCTTCTAATGTTTGGTGTGTCTCTTTCTTTACGATACAAGAAACTGAGAGGAAGCACCTGACCCTGGCAACCAACATCGCCATCACAAACCAAACATTTAGACAAACCACCTGAAAAGTAGTATTTACTATTATTATATTATCAATAAGTATTACACAGAGTTACAATATACAAATGCATATACGTATAGCCAGTATGAAAAAGATGGTAGAAAGTATGAAAGTACATGCAAGAGAAAGATGCTTATCTAACTCAAGTTGTGCTCTGCACAAATTGAATGGATTAGTAATACCATATGTCAACATATCATGTAGTGTCACATGCATAAAAGTTTCTAATGAAGCATAGCACGGATTATAAACTTAGAAATTTGAACTCCAACTTGCATAAAAACACCCCAATAGTTGAACTTATCTAATCCATATGTATCACAAGTATTACTTGTATTTGGAATTAGTCCTAGAAACTTGTATCCCTTCTCTTATCAATGGGAGAAGTGGGGGTTTGAATTTGAGATATTTTCCAACATAAAAAAAACCACTACGACAAGAACTATTTTTTTTTTTTTTTTTTTTTTTTTTTTTTTTTTTTTTCTTTTTCTGAATAAAATCATATATTTTTTGGGACCAAATTGCCCGAGTGGTTTGGCCAAATTTCTTTTGTTGGGCCTCCCTTCAGCCCAATTGTTGACTACAATAAGGCTTATACGCCAATAATATCTCAATACCCGGATTTTCCTTACAAGAGAAATTAGGAAAAGGGTAAGCGAGTCAGGACCAACTGTGCTGAGTAGGGAGGGAGGTTCTTCCAAATCGTAAACTCGTCGAGACCGAGAGGAACAGTCAGTGGCCGAGAACAGAGAAGATGGACAGAGAATGGGGTTCGAAGCCCGGCAGCGGAGGCGCCGCCTCCGCCCAAAACGAAGCCATCGACCGCCGAGAGCGCCTCCGGAGACTCGCCCTCGAGACCATCGATCTCGCCAAAGATCCCTACTTCATGCGCAACCACCTTGGCAGGTATGACCCGTTTTCTCTCTTTGCTCAAATTTCACTGCTTTTCATCTTATTGTTGATTATTCTTGGTGGGTTTTTGTAGCTACGAGTGTAAGCTTTGCTTGACGCTGCACAACAACGAGGGCAACTACTTGGCCCATACACAGGGGAAGCGCCATCAGACTAACTTGGCAAAGCGAGCTGCTCGTGAAGCCAAGGAGGCTCCTGCTCAACCCCAGCCTCACAAGCGCAAAGTCAACTTGCGAAAGACAGGTGTGTATTTCATATTTGTTTCACACGAATTTTGTCGAACAGTTAGTGGGCATATCACATTGTTTGGTGGGTTTTTTTTTTATGTATAAAATACTAGAGAAACTTAATTTAATTTGGGGTTTGAAGATTTTAACACTAATTACAAAATACAACTACATGGGGGGTGCATTTGAGTAGAATGTAATTTTGATATGTAAATTGGGTCTTGTGTTAACTCATACGGGTATTTCATTAATGCTTGCAGTTAAAATTGGTAGGCCGGGGTATCGAGTGACAAAGCAGTTTGATGGAGAATTAAAGCAGAGGTCTCTTCTCTTCCAGGTTTGTGGGTTTGTGTATTTTTGTGTGCAGTGATATGTGTTTTACTGAAAGAATAAGATCTCATTCAAATATGTGTAGGGTACGCTAAGAAATGCCCTAGCTTATGTTGTGTTATTGTTTGTATGCTCTGCAGATTGAATATCCTGAGATTGAAGATAGTACAAGGCCTAGGCACCGTTTTATGTCATCTTATGAGCAGGTAGGTTCTATATATTAAATCTGAGTTTGCTTCCTGAAAACTTTGCTTTTTGCCTGCAATTCATGTCCATCTGTTTTTTCCCTTTTTCTTAATTGAAGCGGTGAATTGTTCTTTTTTTCTTTTTAAACGTTAATTTTTCATGAACGCAGAGAGTTCAATCTGTCGACAAAAGATACCAGTATCTCCTCTTCGCAGCCGAACCATACGAGATAATTGCTTTCAAGGTATTTCTCATTTTCTATACATCTGGTATTTATCCTTTTTACTGTTAGATTCAGAACATTTACTGGGGCAGCATGTTCATATCTGTTTCAGGTTCCTAGCACGGAGATTGACAAAACCCCTGAAAAGTTTTTCTCACATTGGGATCCAGACTCAAAAATGTTCACAGTTAGTCTTCTAATTTAAATGGATTTCTTTTATGCTTTTTATTGGTTGATGTTTTTTTCTTTTCTAATTTTGCCATGTGGAATGTATCAATATGCAGTTGCAGCTATATTTCAAAACTAAGCCACCAGAGACAAACAAACCGCAACCTCCCCCTGCAGCCAATGGCCCAGGTGCTCCTGGTGTTCCATCAAGGCCTTTGCCCCCACCACCCCAAGCTCCACCTCCACCTCCTCCACAAGGACTGCCACCTGGTGCACCAATGGGAAATCCTCCTAGACCCCCTCCGCCGATTCATGGATCTTTACTGCCTCCTCCTCCGATGGGAAATGGCCCTAGACCCATGCCTCCTGGTGGAGCTCCTCCCGCCCCTCCTCCACCCCCAGTTGGTAATAACACAATGGCAAATTTCACTCCTGGCACTCAGATGGGAAGACCTCCATCAATGCCACCTCCACAAGGCTTTCCAGGACAACAAATGCAGGGTCAGGGTCTTCGTCCACCCCCACCACCTCCTAACATGGGCTAAGGGAATCCGGAGCCTCCAGCATCTCAGTAAACATACTTGCAGTATTAATGTGAAGAATGATGTGAGCTAAAATGACGCCGTATTTATTGAAGCTGTACCTGATTAATGAGCCTTAATTACATCGTTAGTCATTAGATATATATTCCTAGATTATTTCTTCAAAAGTAATATTTTCCATTGTTTTTCCCTTATAAACAGCGATATTAGGGTTGACATTGAGAAGATGTGTCGCTGCTTGAATTTTTGCAGCTTGTCTTATCTCAATTCCTTTGTTTAATGTAATTTCTTTTTGTGCATTTTGAGCTGAGTGGTATTGAGTGCATCTGTGCTTGACCCCAAAAATGGTATTAAGTGCATCTATGGTGCCTCGCCCATAATGCCTTTGGATGTGTTGAAGTGCTTGTGCCAACTTGTGATAGATTATCAATTCCATCCTTTTAATCGATGTATTTACTAATAAGTCGCTGCTACAGATCAGTAGAAGCTCGCTTCTGAATACCACACCTGCTTAAATTTATATAGGATTGATATTAGAAAAAGGGGAATTGAAAACAGAACCTTGACCTCAAGTAAAAGGGTAAAATGTTGGATTGTTTGCTCGAGATCGTTTGTTATGCGAATGAACTGCTTAACCTCATATTCGTGCATGAGTTATAAGCTGTAATCATTTGTAACAACCCATGCGAGTCAACAAAGATAGGTTCGATAACTCTGATCGATTACACACAATAAATCAATTGCACAAAGGATGTAAGTACATGTACCAAGCTGCAGCAGCTCCAAAAGTACCTAAGCCAGAGGCACAGAAACAAATTCAAAGTTTTCAACCAAATCATCATCCCATCTGCTTCACAATGCTGGCATAACCGACAATGTTTCTTCTCCGGATGCACCTCCCAAAAATTCCATATGGCCACTTATGTGAAATGGTGCTCAAAGGCATGCAAACAGGAGGCTTATCATTCAGACTCTCAGAAGAGGGGTTCTTTATGCACTGGTCACCAAATTCTTATCTTGTTAAAGCATTTGGAGGGAACACCTTCCGAATGAATTCCAAGAAGCGATGGGAATAGAACGTAGGGTCCACGGCAGAGATGGACAAGGAATCAAACTGAAGAGATTTGTAAGCGTGTTCAATCTTCTTGCCCATGCTGTAGTCTTGCAATATATCAATGATCCCAAGATATAGCACAACATCATATACTTCAGGAAATATCTGCTCCTCCCCAGGAACCTGCTCTGCCCTTGCTGGCATGTTCACACCCAGCTGGATTTGGAGTCTGCATTGTGAAGACAAAAAAAGATGAAGTAAATTTGTTCAAAGGCCGCAAGGGTGCATACAGTATTATAAATTTCGTGGGCATTAAGAATGCCTTTAGTTGTCATTTTCACTTCAGATGCATAGCTTCTCAAAAGAAGACTAAACAGATTCTTTGCATGGGGTTTATAAAAAAGCTCCATAGCATCTGAGGCAGCTCTGAAGGGTATGAAAATGGCCCTTGAGGCATTTCAAGGACAATACAAGCATTCTAGTGCAGCAGATCATACCTTGCTGTACCAGGTAAAAGGAGATCCACTTCCTCATAACCAGCAGATGATGCTCTCAGTCGGCTACCTCTGACGTGAGGACCCACAACAACGCTATCATCATCTGTTCCACGAGGGATTAAAACAAGGCCTTGTGGGTAATTGGAGATTTCGTCCTCCAGGGTCTCTGTCATTGAAACCCCAAAAGCAAATCTTTTGTATGTTAGTCTCTAATCATAAGGAAAAAGCAAACTCTTCAACCCAAAAAAAAAGAAAAAAAAAGCGAATTCTGCATATCATAGGGAAACAGAGGATGACAACTAAATTGTGCATTAAGTAAAACATTGACCTTCCTCTGCGAGTATTTCTAATCCATCAGCTGTTGTGCTTCTATTGTAGGTCATGAAAGACCGCAGATGTTGGGGGGCTCTATAATGCACTCCCATGAGAAGGCTGTAATCCATAATGTGCTGTGCCTCCAGAAATTTACTGTCAATCTCAATCTGACTGCATAATAAGAAAGAAAACACAATGAATAACATAGTAACAACAAAGGAAAAAATTAAAACCTAATGTTAGAGAATCATACATGTTAAGCAGGCCAAAAATGACCGTTATGAAACTAAGAGGGCATGGCGCGACCACATAATAGTGTTACAAGAGAAACTAAGTACCGAATTTGGCACTTAGAATCATCTTGACTAAATCTTTCACAGCCAACACAAACAAGAATTTTAAAAAAAACTACAGATATTTTTTATAAATTCTTAGGTTATATGTTTTCTTAAACTTAAAAATAACCAACTGACCAAAATTAACTCAAAAATAACCAGGGGTCTACTATATTATACAAACTCATTTCTACACCTATGGTAGGAACTACAAATCAGAGGGAAACAAAAAATGACAACACACATCTGGAATTATCACTTACTTCAACAAAGCCTCTCGCCAAGAAGGTTCCAAATAAAAGGAGTAGTTTAAATCCAAGTCCTTTAGTGTTGTGTTTTCGTCAATTTCAATCTTATCTGCAGAACGACCAAGGGATGAACCTTTCAAATCAAATCGTCTATGTATTCTTAACTCTGTGCAGAACATGTTTCCCATCACTACAAAGCGGAACTGCAAAGCATATATTATCTAGGAATATCAGCCTTTGAAGTACAATAAGCAATTCAAATTCATAGAGAAGGTTTTATCACAAATACGAACGAGGCAAATCATTAGAGAATTGGCTCTTAGACAAGGAGATTCAGGCTCATAGAACCTCAAATGATATTTTTATTGGAATGTAAATTAAAAACAGCTATGGCATCAAAAACATGGAAACATGTTTCTAGCATGGCAGCTCATAACAATCTAAAGGCACTGTTCCCGTTACCTTTTGACCACTTGAAGGTTTAATCCTATGAAGACCAAAGAATTTTGTGATGAGTGTGTTCTCATATGACCTTACGTGATGATGATAACTTGGAAGCATCCGTAGAAGAACCTACAGATCAGAACACTGGTTACTATACCACACCTCCAGATGATTAAAGAAAGAGGGGAAAAATTGCAGAACATCAATTATAGCACCTGTATCATAGTTCTGCTAATACATTACCTTATTGACAAAGCATATAAAAATGTAAAGTATGCTGAGCATAATGTTGTTACAGAAAAGATAAGCACACTAAAGTACATAACAGAAATTTATGAAATCACAGTTCTACTAATTGTTAAAGCTGGTCCTCCAAGCATAGACATAAGATTTATCAAGAACCTTGGGTGAAGGAAAGAAGACCCAACTTATTTGAAAATAAAACCCAAAAACAGCAAGTTCATCACGCACCAAGCAATTCCTAAGACGGTTGTAATTAATCAATGACATGTCCGCTCATTCTAAAACAAGTATATTTCTATCAAACGTCCAGTTTTCACTTTATAGCTTTTGTTTACCAATTCTAACACAGAACAAAATCATGAAAATGTACAACAAAGAATCTAAGGCTCTTCGACTTTCAGGATTCATGAAAATAAAGTTCTTTGCTTATGCAGGTAAACCGCAAAGGAAGCAGTTAACTGGTTCTAGTATGAATTTATAATTTCATACAGAAATGTTACACAAGGAGACAAAAGAAAACTTCATGAGCATTTAGTAATTTATGTACATCAACAGCAAAATGCAGATGCATGAATCCCGACAGTGATACAAACCTTAACTTCAGATTTCCGGAGTGTCTTAATCATGAAACGATCATCTTGAGAAAGGAAAAACACACTACCACTTTTTCCAGGAGAAGAAAGTTCTCTGAGAGCATCATTTCCACAAATAGACATCATGTAATCAGCAGCATCAATCTTGAACATCTCCCTTAAATTCCTGCAACAATTTTAATAAAAAGGCATGATCATTGCATTGTCCAGATAAAGTAATAGGAAATTATAGGCAGCAGAGTATCTTCAAAACAGCATGAAAACATTATACCAGTATAAAATACTCCCACCCAACACACACAAATGATTCCGCAGATGAGTACACAACCTAATTTTCCAGGGTAACATCTTGGTCAAGTTTTGTATATATGTATGGTCTTAGTCAAGTTGTGTATGTGCATGTGTGTGTGTGTTGGCTGGATCTGAGAGGGACATTTGCACTTGAAGGATTCTGTATATATGTATATGTAAACAATCAGAAGGTATTTCTTTTCTTTTTCACCTTTCATAAGAAAAGTGGCTCATGGTTATAATCCCAAAAAACACTGACAGCATGTTAATTGTAAGAAGCAAATCACAAATTTATAGTTGGTCCTGCATTATACAAAAGAAAATATCCATATTACAGTAAATGCATCAAACAAACACATAGGCTACAAGACAAAGTTCAAGACATGAACACTAACCTGAAGACCATTGGGCAATAGTCTTTCCACCTAAAATCTACCGATTGATGAGGTGGTGTCAATTGAGAGCCGTCTTTAGGAAAATTCATCCAAAAACTTGCCCGAGGGCCAAAATCTGATGCCCGGACTTCTCTCCTTTGTATAGGTGTAATCTTCCCAACAGTATACCTGGCCACATTTTAATCCACATTCAGCATTCAGTTCCAGCAGACAAAATATGCAATGCACATGAGGTAGGAGTAATGAGCATTAGTGGTCATCATTGGACTATGCATTCTCCATTGTTTACAGAGAATATCAGTCTCAAAATTCCACAAACAATATCTTAAGTGTCTGGTGGTAAGAACTTCAGAGGTATATGTGAGAAGCAAATCTTTTTTTAACCCTATAGGAGAAACCTGTTAAGATTCTCTAACCACTCTCATGGAGACATAAAACTTATTTGTATCTTTTTTTTTTCTTTCCGTTTTCTTTTCTTTTCTTCTTTCCCCACAATGGGATCATGCTTGTCCCGAATCCAGCAGAGAAAAGGTTGCTGATGCCAGAAGGGACGAATTAATCAAGCAATATAATCTAATAAAAACCGTGCATTATATGCAAATTTAAATGAAGACAAAATAAGATAAGTAATCTAAAGTATAAAAATCAAAGATAAAGAAATCTAAGGGAGTTAAGGAATTTAAGAAAAGTGAATGCACCTTATACCAAGCTGCAAACTGAGCATTAGATCATAGCTCCTATGACCTTTAATGATTGCTTCACCAGGTCTCTTCACTACTTTTGCTAGTTTCTTTTGTCGCCGTTTTGCCCTTCTAGATGATGATGTAAAGCTATTATTCATTACTAACTCGCTGATTAAGACACCTTGCATATATTCTCGTTCCAAGATTGGAATCCCTGTCCCATCATCTTTTTCTCCACCCTCTAATGAATCACGTCCAATCACTTTTTCAAAAGATACCTCAAGGCTCCAACGCCTTTCCAAGGAAACATTTCTATGAGACGGCTCCAAATTTAACAGATTTCTGTTAGAGAGTTTATCAGCAGAAACAAGATGAGATCCCTGGCTCTCTCCAATCTTTGAATTTCCCATATCCACTGAAGTAGCATGATGGATATGTGCATTGTTCTGTTTTCTTAAATCTGGTAAGAGCCCTCGTTTCCTCAAAGCATTTAGGTAAAGTTCTTCTACTGCTGGAAGTCTGCTGCCTTTTGGATAAAATGACCCTTTACCATCCTTTAAACCCCGGGTCCAAGTGCCAACATAGAAGCCTCCATCACTCCATGTGTAGACTCCAAATCCATGCATCATTCCATTCAACCAGCTTCCTTCAAATGAGTCCCCATTTGTCCAAGTGAGAGTTCCTTTCCCGGACATCTTCCCTCCTTTCATATTTCCTAGATAAACATTTCCATTTACCCATGTATACTTTCCAGGCCCTTCGGGCATTCCCTGGATCCAAGAGCCTTCAAAGGCATCTCCATTAGGATAAACTTGATAACCCAGACCATGTTTGAGATTCAACCGCCATCGCCCTTTATATGTCATCTTATCTGATCCAATGTAAGTCCCCGTACCATGCATATATCCACCTGAAAATTCTCCCTCATAAATGGCACCTGAAGGCCAAATAATTTTTCCACTCCCATGTCTCATCCCCCGTCTCCACTCACCCTCGTATATGCAGCCATCTGACCAGGCATACCTTCCCCTACCCTCGGGGATGTTGCCAAGCACCGGCCCCGAATAGGATTCCTTATTTGGAAGTAATAGCTCCCTGACTCTAAAGGCAGCAATTTCAGAAGTATGAGCAGCTTCGCCATTATTTAATATGGATTCTCTGTCTTCTTTGGAAATGGCATCAAGTGATTTTGTTCTCTCTGCATAAGAGCTTGCTTCTCCCGTGCTATCGTCAATGGCCGCAGGGCCAGACATGCATAATGCCCAAGAGATTTTCTTACACAATTACAGGGACTCCAAAATTGTCATAGGCCTATGACGATATAGGATTCTGTAAAAAGTCACATGAGTGAGTGAAAATATAACAGGAAACTCCTTGTCCTCTGATTTATTAAAAGCAGAGAGATTATAGACTCTCTACAAAATGCAGTTCTCAAGTGCACAAGATGGCTTTTTGGAGCAAAGATCGAACTCAAACTATAAAGCCATGAAGAAAAAAAAAAAGTGGGAATCCTATTGATTCCGTTAAAAATCAAATAACTACAGTATGACCACCATAGACTTATAATGGGAAAAATAAGAGCATGAGCACAGACACAGATGCACTACAGTTACACCAGAACGCCCTCTACATTTATTTTTTGTTGTGTGCCAAAACTGCTTCAGCAAGAACAAAAGATCGGCTCCAATACAACAACAGGTTCATCCCCAAGAAAAATATGACCAAAAGAGAAAATTTCAACCAGCAAAGGCAAAGAAAAGCAGGGCACACATGGATTTTTAAAATATCCAACTCTTACAGAACCAGAAATATTTTGCACAATATCTCATAAAACAACAGAACCGACAATGCTTAATGATATTTCAGAGATGCAGTCACCCAATACCTACAAGTCCTTCACATGATTAATTTTGGTATTGCAGCTACAATTTCTCATAGTGCCAAACTCATTTAGATTCTTTATTTTCTGTCTTTTTTTCTTTTTTAAAAGTGCCTCTGAAAACAAATTAAAATCAAAGAGATATCCGAAAGAGCATACATTTATATCCTCCATTCATTTTCCCAAAAACGAAAGCGCATCCAGAGAACCAATATGCTCTGCAGCCAGTTACAGGCTCTTCAGCTTTCTTGTTCAGAAAAAGCTTACGCTAACTTTTCAGTTGACTTGACTTTCTTCCCCTCTGATTCCCAAAAGAAGGAAACTTGAGCTGATTTCAGCTCCAAAATCCAAAACCCAAAAGCCACTCAAGTCTCAAACCAAAAGCAATTCCACTAATAAGACAAACTTAACCAAAAGCAAATAAAGACTTAAACTTGTTTGAGGAGCAGAAAGAGAAATAGCAGCCATATAAAAGACTACCTGTGAAAACGAAAGAAGCTCCAGCTACACAAGAGTAAGTGTTAAGCAGCTGAACATTAGCGATGGTTTTATGACTTTGAAGCTTTTTCTCTCTCTCTCTCCCTGCCTTCGCTTTTAGATGGTGACCAAATGTTTGCGAATCCCAAAGCCAAAACACCCGAAGCAATAGCCAATAGCCAGAGACGCAGTGGACCAATATTTAAATACGCAAAAACGGAAGTTAAACGCAAATATCGTCTCGCTTTTATATACGACCGTTTCCTGAAATGACGATAATGCCCATGTTATACGTTGGTTTTTCTATTCATAGTTGCATATCTGGTTGTGCTTGTACACCACATACCTAATTTGATATCAGAGAAAACAAAAAACCTTTTAACTTCATCCACTTTTTTCAGGTGTTCTCCACTATCATTTTTATTTTTATGCTTATTTTCGGCTGATTTAGTAATGAGTTTCTCTCTTTTAATGTTTTTAATGTATTTAAAAGCAAATAATATTACATTTTAATGTTCTTTCACATGTTGTTTACATCCTTACAGGTAGTTAACTAAAGATGTGATTAACAAATTAAGTAGAATTATATCTTAAAATTTGTGGCTAATGGAGCCCAATGAAAAATGATATTGATTTGCATATCAGGTATTGGGTTCGAATTCCATGACACTTTGGTAATATGTGTGAGAAATCTTCATCTCATTGTAGTCTGGACTATCGCCTTGTATTCAAATGAATGTATATATATGTGTTCTTAATTTGTGTTAAACACAAACTTGACCTATGAGTTTTAACTCTAAACCCGTTTAAGTGCATCTTAAACCCGTTTTATAAATAAGATTTATTGATAGCATATAAATGAAAAAAATGAAAAAAAACAAAACAAAACCTTGGATTTTTAAGCTAGTGAGCCCCTCTTCAATGTATAATGCATGATTAGTAATAAGTTTATAAAAAAAAACAAATTGGCTCTAATAATATGTAGGGAGAATAAACCTTCGAATACTTATATAATTCTTATGCTTATATTTTATAAACTTAATTTTTTTGCCCGAACCCTGCATACAAAATTGTGTGAGAATAAAATATTGTTTTTTAAAGGATATTATCGATAATATCTATATATATATATATATATATATAACCTTAACAGAACTTACGCAAAACAAAAAGTCTATTTAGAAAAGTCTGATGTATAATAAAAAAAATTTAATAATAATAATTTGTTTGTTATGCTCTATTTAGAAACGATCGGTTAGGTAGGGTACTTATTTCCAAAATCCAATTGGTGCTCAAGCTTAAAAATCTGATTACTGACTTACCATAATTAGGAATCTTAATCCTATACTTAATCCTATTGTTTATTAAATTAATAACTATAAGATAAAAACGTTGCTTGCAGATACCTGTGGCTCACGTATGTATGAAGCCCCATTTTTCTGAACCCTATTATGGTTTTGACCTTATCGCCCTGTTTATGGAGGGATGGCCGTGGCCCACTTTTCACGAAGACGTTCATCTTTTAGGTGACATTGCAGTGTGATTAGGTACCTAACTTTGGTACTGCATGTTCTTTTTCAAAATCTAAATTTCAATGGCTTTTTTTTCATCAACTTTTGATCAATGTGGTGTTTTATATATATATATATATATATATATATATATTTATTTATTTATTTATTTATTTTTTCACATCAACTTTTGAACTACAACACGAAAAAGTTAATATGCGGCATTGGCTAATTGACATAACTACAGAATACGGGAACGCTGATATGCAGTATTGGCCAACTAACCTAATTCTATGTGCTTATATGGTGTTAGGTAATGACATATATTAGTATAACTTTGTTTATGTAGTTAGTGAGGCTTTGAGTTATTTCCTTATGATTGTTTGGAATATACGTGTCCTGTTGTCATCCCTGGTTGGATTAGTATAATCTAGATTTTGCAGTTGCACTAAAATATTTAAGAAGATGAATTAAGATAATATTGGTTAATGACATTATTAAACAATATATTTCAGATGGGTTAGGGAGGCATGATTATTCAATGATAAGCAAGCTTCGTTCTTAATTTATTACTCATGTCCCATGGATTAGATAAAATTTTGGAAGGATGTTAGCAGAATAAATAATAAGTAATAAATTTTGGAAGAAGTATGGAATGGACAGAATGGTGTACTGAGATGAAAGAGCCAATCATGGGAGAACATAACACACACATGTTGAACTTTAAAAAAGGATATCAAGATCAACAAGGAAGAGATAAGATAAGGAAACAATATTAAACATAGATCTTAGGAAAAGTGATCAATTTCATCTTTTTCAGCTTTTGTATTTTTTCAACTAGTCGTTTTAGTATTAAGTTTTTCAATTAGGTCCTCATAGATAAATTAAAGAATCCGTCAATTAGTTAATTGAGATCATCAAATAATGCGCTTGAACACGTCCGTGTTAGAGTCTTCTTAAAAATAAATAAAGTATAATGAACTCGTATATGAATAAATAACACACTAACACATTATTTCGTGAACTAAAAATTAGTGAAGGAACTTGATGCGTGTAGTATTATTCTTTCGACATAAAAAGAGTGACGGATGTGACTGGCCTGAGAACAAATATGACTGTACAAAGTTGGATGTACGATGATGTGAAGCACTTGTTGGGAGGAAACTTTAATTTCTCATCACCAAGAAATTTCATTGTCGACATATGAGATATTAATTTGTACGTTTTGTTTGGTACACGGAACAATTCCATTCCAAAACTAGCAGTCTGGTCTGGTGAGTTCTTACCTTGACCCGCCTGATAAATATAAAATGTGTACTAAATAATTATATTTTAGCACCTTTCCTTGGCCGACCAACCTTTTCTGTGACCTCACCTCAACTATGACAAACGACGATTCATTTTTGTTCTGTCTTTGTGAAATAATAAGTGGTTTTCGTTTTGTATTTTTATTTTTTTTTAAAGGAGTTTTCGTTTGTAGTTAAACAATCATCTCAAGCTCTTGTAAGAAACCCCTAGGGTTTTCTGGTATTTTTAATTTTGATTTAAAAAATAACTCTTAATCAAGGATCAAAGAATCGTCGATGAGATGAAATTGACAAAAGAAAAAATATATGATGTTTAAATATACAAATGGTTTTTCATACATAATTTTGTTATTTATTTGTTGTTTAGTTGATGTTTATAATAGCGTCTCTGAAAAAAACACCTTTAATCCTGAAGCACTAATTGATAGATATCCATCACATTGCAACAAGGACAACATAACAGAGGCCAAAGAACGAAGATCTACGCATATCTACAAAGATCTAACCAAAGGGTAGATAAGAAGACCCCAAAATAACTACGAGGTGAAACAAATCTTACAAAAATACAAAGAGAGATAACCCTAGCCTTTTGTAGAAAGTTCCTCTTACTACAAGGGGCTAGGGTTTCAGATAAGCCCATCGATTAGCATCTAGACCATATTATATATTTTTTAAATGATTCCAATTTGAATTCACTTAACAATATAAACATATTTTCGTTAAAAAAAATTACATATCATGAGAGGAAATAATGAAAAACATAAAATTTGTTCTCACCAAAATTTCCTATAAAAACTATCGTTTTGAAGCAACCACTTATTTTGGAATAATGAGGGTAGGTGGCCCTATAGCAGAGGCACATGGGAATATGAAGAAGTTGGTCGGTAACTGGTGACTAAGACAACTAAGAGCATATGGGACCAATATAACCCACAAAGCTATTTATGATTTTCAAAACAAAAAATCTTGTATATTTTATATCAAAATAGAAAGAGATAGATATGCATATGCAATAGCTAATATATTGATAGATATATATAAATTTATAGGTGGTGGTGGGGGCTCGTACGAGAAAATTT